CGTGTACATCTACTTGTAGACAAAGTTCCAACGTTGCTTATTTGGTTAAGTTGGCGTATTTGTAACCACAATCTATTCTAAACTACTCTTAATAAACTTCAATATCTCCACAATGCCTTCAATTGTTATCATATCTCTTCAAATTCTGAATGTTGCCTGACAGAGCTATCCAGTGAAAGGATGTTAAAAGGCGGTGATCGCGATACTCCATGTATCTACGGACTCAACACAAGTCGATTCACACGCCGCAAGAGAGAACAATTTGTAACTTCCGTTGTAGAACATCAGGCTACACACACACACACCAAGTTCTTGAGGTCCATTCACCACCACCCAACGGCCGATTGCGCGCGGTAATTGTCTCCACGCCATGGTTCCCTACCGGAAATTTATTACTCATGGGAGATAATCGGCCACAAAAACTCAAGTAAATAGGTAAGCCTGATTTGTTACATATACTCCAGCAAATCATTATTCGTATATCACTTCCGCAGTTAATAAGAGGGAGAATGCGGATAAACACTCATTCACGATCGATTTGCACACTCAGCGAAATTGAGGTAATAGTGCCGTACGTTCTCGCAATGGTGAAAGTTGACTCTAGCCACTGTAACTTTCGTAGTGGGGAGAGAGTCAATTTAATGACTGGTACGGCACAGAAAAATCTTGTCATCATTAAAACTGGTTTAAGTTATCAACTGACTTGCCATTGTCTCCTTTACGTTTCTATCCCACGAAACATTTGACTGTTTTTTTCATTCTTTAACGTAGCACATGTTTTTAAGTTCTAGGAAATGCAATTTATTTTTATCCATCTTAAATACTACACATTAAGTTTAGAACATGTATGTACACACTATTACACAGTATGCTCAGTACATACTCGAGACAGGCATTTAAATAAACATAGTGATGTGACTTCAACAATTTTTAATGGCACTATGATCGTTCATACTCACGTATCGATTAACACACTTGGCCGCAATTTTATTTGTTTCCACTAAACAACTAAAAAAACTTGAAGCTCCTGCTGCAGCGATGAAATAGACATTACCAATCCTTCCATTATTTGGAAGAGCGTACAATTATCCTGAGATAATTACCTGTCTATTTGTGTCGCTTATACTCTTCTTCAGCTTCAGATCCGAATGAAGATGGTATTTGTATAAAAGCAAATCAAACTAGACGTATTGTGCAAGTAGGAAACGATTATAGGTTAGTAGAAAAAAATAATTTGCAGTTGAGTAATCTGCCAGGAGGAATCAAGTACCACCAGGTGAAGTTCTTACAGGTTTCAGTGGCCTCAAAGCGTTGCCACAACTCGGGTGGAAATGTGTGAAATATCAGGAAATGAAAGGGCGAGTTAGTCTTGCGATCGAAAAAGTTGATTTAACTGGATCATAATGAGTAAATAAAAAAACATTTGCGGCCAAAACACTAAATATTCTATAAACAAATAGCAAATCGATTTTGGTGCTAATCCACTCAGTAAATTATTTTGGCCCGCCAATAGGATAAAATAATTCAACGATTTTTTTCATCGTAAGTATTAAGAGGCCGAATATAAGTGACAAAAGAGAAACGAACATTGAACAATTGACATATCTTAATGTAAATATTAAGATTGGAGACTGACTATGAAGCTCGCACGAAATCCGAAGACATTCTGCAACTATGTTTCTATATAATGTAGAAAATGAGTGGGTGGATAGCAATCCTCGCTGAAATATAAGCTCCCCTCAAAGGTTACCTGTAACACTAATTTCCGTTGCGTGCAGAAATTTAAAAAAAAATTGTAGCCTCCTATCACATAAGAGGTCTGTGGTATCGTTAAGTACACGGAAAGTCGGGAAAATCCAAAAATCAATGGTACAGTTTCGATTGATTATTTTGTGTTTCCGGGTGCATCAACTATTCTCGTATGTGTAGTGCATATTCTGATCATAGGAGATGGTCGTGTTCTACGCCCGCTGGATGGCGAGATCCGGCAACGTCCTACACTTCGGCTTGCGCGTTTTGACCCAACCATATTCCATCAGCGAGGCACCGATCCAGCAGGAACAAGCTCTAACCATGTTTGGTAGTATAATGCTAATAAATATGTAAGTAAAGAATGAGGATAAAACAATGAAGAGAAAGAATAGATTCCTTGCGGACCATGGCCTATTTCTTAAAGTACTGCACTGGCATTCGCCTGGTGTTGATCGGAGAAAACACGGAAAACTACCAATCAGCACAGCCGCCCGTTAGAAATCTTCTCTAGACAGCAGTTGAATTCGATCTAGCTAGTGCCGAAAATCCCGTCGGGACTCGAACCCCAGGATCTCCAGGTCAGAGGTACACCCATGACTTCAGCTAATGCCCTGAGCCACCTAAGCCGGAGAACAGATTCGATTTCGTCTGAAAGCTGCAAATATTTGGTTACTATGTTATACTGGACATACCGACTGGATACTCATACTCTGCGGGTACTGTTTACGACACAGCTGATGTCGGCAAGGTTCTAAGGAAGGGGCCATTTGCCATTAAACATTCACGCTTCACGTGTTGCGTGTGGACCTTCGACTTTTTTAATATTCTTGGTATGTCAAGAACTGTTGTACGCATACATACTACACTATGTTGTTGTAGTACTCATAAAGAATGTTTGTAAAAATAATTTATTGTAATTTTCGAGGTATTCTTTGGAAAATTATTTGTGTGGTTAAGGGGTATTTCTATCGCAGCAGAGCACTAGTAATGGATAAATTATACAATATACGAATAAATATTTCTATAAACGTTCTCTTTTTTTTAACATTAACACGTTTTTCTTGGAGAGTCACACTCTTCTTAGTATCTCACAAGTAAATTTCCGTTCTCGCTGAACCATTTCTTTAAACAAGTGATTCATAAATCGCATTTTCTAGAAATATTTAATTCTCAAATTACGACGATTACAACATTTCCCCTATATTTCGTAGATGCGAAACGAAAAATGAATTTAACAACGAGCGAATTCACGTTCAACGGTATACGAAACCTGCCTTAGTGTACGAGCTGCATGCGTTGCGTATGCTAATGAATTGTCACAATTCGTGCACCACGATTTTGTTGCACATCAGCTCTTCCACATGCACTCCGCATAGGAAACAAACTTGTCACTGTTCCCCTTCACAATATATCACTGTCGAAGGGACACGGAGGAAATTTAACCAAGGACAAATGCCTCATGAATGACCCCTAAATAATTTGTTTTTTCGTCGAAGGATGTATTCGGTTGCAAAATAATTGTCCTGTACAAACATAACGGAAAACATTACTATTTTAATCTTTTTAAATTTTTATAAACAAAAATATCGTTTTAACTACTCAATTTAGAATTCTACTCGTTTTCAGAATTAATGGTTTACGAATAATTAACGAGTGAATCCTCTGTTTTAAATACACTAGACCAGCCTTAATGATGTTACGTGAGTTTCTTCTTTTCTTCTTGGGATCCAAAGGTTTCATCCAGCTATTTTCTAAAGTTGTCAAGTTGAAGGTTATCCTTGCTCAGCTTATTTTTACGTTTTAATTTACATTGTTGGATAACGAAGTTCATGAAACAGAAAGTTCAAGTTCAAAACACATTTAATGAAGAAGTAAACAATGTGTCGTGAAGAAGGAAAAAATTGCATTAAATGAAAGAGGAACAAAAGAACATATCACTTGAAATAAAAAAAAAGATATCAGATTCAATATCAATAATTTTAAAACTGGGAGGTAGATTAAATGATTTTTCACGCGTGACTAAAATAAGTACTGAACACTATCCAAGAATCGAAAAACAAAGATAACGCACTCCAGATGGGAGTTCAAAATGGTCTAAATGTTTTTATGGTACGTACAATGACGTCATACTTAATATTGAACTGACAGAAGGTTTTACAATTAAGATAACGAAGAGAATATGTAAAATTTACAAACTTGGCATCAACGCTGAATTAAAGTACAGTTAATATGATTTCATATTAACTTCAAACAGAATTAATTTTGTTTGTGTGAACTTGCTATTTAGATTAAAGCATTTTTTAACAGATAATTTCAGTAAGTCCGTACCTTTTTCATCGACGCATACGGAACCCAACGCTAATTTAGTAGGGACGACATTGTTCTTCGCCACCCACTCACCCCCACCCACCCACCCACCCTAGAACCTTCTCCACGCCTTTTTATTTGGCACGGGATGCTCTACTCGTGAGCAACCTCACGCTCACGAGCTAATTGTAGTAATATACCTGTATTTTCACTGCGAGTACGCGGAAAATGACGTTCTCCTATTCGCTTCAGCTTCATCACAATAAGAGCTAAGAAAAATTAGTAATGAACCCCAGAGACCAAACTAGTCACGACCAGTGTTTGCCCTCGACAAAAGCAGCAAATACTTAACTACGGTATTATGAGATGCTATAAACCCGCGAACCCTTCAATTTTCTTTGTTTTGTTTCCGAACTTGCGCAGCAGTACGATGAAATTGGTGAATGATCAGTAGCAGTAATTCGAAATTCAAGGAAAAAGGAAAACGTAAAGAAAACATCGGATCTGCATAAGAATACTGCTTTTTTATATGCATTTCACTGCATATATTAAAAATGCAGCAATATAATTGAACATCTTTCGTAAAGGTATAAAAGATTGAATTTAACAGAAACTTCGAAGATGTTGACGAAAACCAGGCATTTGCCCTTTTCTTGTTTTGCTTTGGTTAATTACATGTTGAAAAAAAGTATAGTTGGGTAGGACGATCCGGCTTTAAAATCCCCATGCAAGCAGGGGGTATGGCACCACAAAGTCTCAGCAGAAGCAGCAGCCGCAGCCGCAGCCGCCGCGGCAGCGGCCGCGGCGGTGCACGCGGAGTAACCAATGGCGTTCTCCGGCGGACGACCTCGCGCAGCGGCCGCGGGGGGAGCGATGTGCCCACGCGGTCACCACCACCACCGACGCCTCCTGCCCGAGGTTATAAAGCTCGCCGAGCGGCCGGTGCACCTGCAGTGCTACGCCGTCACCAGGGCACCGTCGCGGCGGACGCCACCTCGCCAGTTCCTGCGACGAGAATCTGCACTCCGCTCCAACAACGCGGCAGGTAAGGGGCCGAGAATTGTTTGAAGTGACCAGGCTGTCGGGGCATGCGGCGATTTTTCCGCCTCTAAGGAGGCCATAAGCTGCTGGGATATGGGTCAGCGTTGAACAGAAACGTCTGTGGCCAGCAGTCTGGGGATTAAAACTGCGAGCTCCTGACACAGGTTCGTGACTCAAGGATATTTTGATATCCTCGCAGTGTATGCGCAGAAATGTGTACTGGGTACTATTTTTCTAAAAAACGAGCTGTCTGCTTTCAAAAAGTGCATAAGACATTATAATAGCATTTACGTTAACATTCGTAATATTAAAAAAGCTGAGGATATGAGGTATCAAGAATTAAATGTTTCAATGTTACGACCATATTGCAGTTGCTATTCTCCATTACAGCCATTTATTTTAATCAACATTCTAAATAACAGTAATACAATTACTTCATACAAATACAAACACACACACACACACACACACACACACTATTAACAAGTTATTTACTTATTTACTCGTATTAAAGGTGTATTTATGTACTTATTATGACATACATTAGGATGAAAACTTCAGGAAATATGTTTCGATTTCCAATAACCAATAAGCTTTGTATTAAGACATTCATGGCTCACCTACAGCTGGCCGATCTTGCCATCCGGGGTGTGATCACAGAGGCACCGCACGCGAACGTGGCAGTGCATGAGATCTCAGAAGTGAACATTCTCAAATGCGACGAAACCTGAGTCTTTAGAAAGTGCGCGTATTTTAATACGTAATACGTGAATTGCAGCGGATGGGAGCACGTCCGAAGTCTTCAGAAAGGCCACGGTCAAGCGGAAACAGTGACTGAAAGCAAATGTCACAGAGGGCAGAGAGGCGGCCAAAGAGGTCGGGAAACGAGCGCAAATGGGAAGATTTCGGAGCGAGTATTATCCTATTCCCCGCCGTCAACCCCTCTAACCAGCAGTGGAAAATTGTTACAACGTGAAGCCGCGTTTTAGTAAGAGGTTCCCACTTGCGTTCATAATTCCACACATGACAATTTACTTCTGCTTCAGACTTAGCTACCACGATTCACAGTTGTGTGTGTTATATTAGAAGACTCGATTATTGCTTGAACATTGCAGCCAAGAGACAGTCCGGTAGTGAAATTTATCAATACCTTGGTGATTGAAATTTGTTTCGGTTTTTGATTTTAAATCGCATACCGCGCGAAACGAAAATGCCACTTTCAATCGAAGTTCTACGTTGTCCGAATAATATCATACGAATGAATAAGAAGGGGATAACATTCTGCCACCTCCCCGGCATTATTTTCTCGAACAAACCTTCATCCAAGGTTTGTTCAAGGTGTTTATGCTAGGAGGAAAATGCCGGTAAATAATATGAAGGAACTGCGAGAGAGGTGGTGAGAAAGTTGAATGTAAAAACTAATTTCACCGTAAAAAGCGCTAAGAAAAATATGAAATGCAAAGTATTTTTCGTAGGCGGAGAGGGGAAGGTTGGTTGTTCAGTTTCTATTTCGAACAATGTGGCTTCTTAAACATGAATTAAATTATTATAGACATCTGTAGTGTATGAAGCGTAGTGATGTACTCGATCTGTATCTGAAACAATCTTGGCTAAAAAAAACCTACGCACCTATGCAGGACCCTGCACAGATTAAAACACAGTATTCGCAAGTTTAGAGTTCCGTTAGGTAATTACGTGCGTAATTAACTCAACTAGCCAGCTCCCCCTTCCAAGGCAAAAGAGTTTTCAAAATAAACACAATTAAAACTTAATGCAACTGTTTCCCATTACGCCGAAGTCCTCTTCGCGACGGAATTACGCCCCGGGTGCACTTCATGATGTGCGCCGAACGCCTCTTGAGTGACAGAAGTCGCCGCGTACGCAACGCGTCATGGTGCAAGCGCCGCAACCGAACGCCGCGCCGTCTTCGCGCCGCACGCGCGTGAAAAGGGGATCGGCGCCGGGCGCGCGCCGCCTGCCAAGGCATGCCCCATCGCCACAGGCGGCGGCGGCGGCGCTGCGAGACGTGACCCGGCTGTGGCCGCAGCAGACGCTTGCGCAATCACTCCCCCCTCCCCACCTCCACACCCCGAGGAACAACCTGTCGCGCCAGACCACATGGCCTCTATTGCAGAACGCGTCGAAATTCCCTGGCCATTCAAAATACTGTCCGATAGATTTGGGTTGCGAAGTTCGAGATTCTGTTCGCTCAGAATCACATGAGATGGGGAACTCGAGAGAAAAAAGAGAGATGGGTCACGAAAGCTTACGGTGCCATTGGAATGTAAAAATATAATCGTATTGTGATTAAGACCAATATAAAATAGTTCATACACTTGGAAAAATGAAAATACTATCGGTGACGGATTAGGCCCTTTGATAATGGGTTACATCAAGCGAGTTCACTTGCGAAAGCTACAACTTAAAAAGCACCTATAAACTTACCTTTCTAAATATGAAGCAATATGAAGCTATTGCTGTAACCCTCTGGTGGTTCAGCATACAATAAAATGATTTAGCCAAAAAAATTGTAAAATTTAACTAAATAAAAAAGGAACATGCGGTTCCTTGAATTCACAATTGTTTCTTTCCGCGGTTGAATTAATAAACAAGCTCAATAAGCATGTGCGTAATAGGGAACCACAATTAGCATTTTAAATAAAATTCTCTAATGCTTCAGAAACATTAGAAATACTTTTGTATTTTGCAATTGCGAGGTTATATTCTCATTTTCATATTGATTACTTCTATTCAATTTTTGAATTTTAATAGGGGGCCAATGGTTCTGTCATGCTTATGACCCCTGAAGACCTTACTCCGGCACTGCTTGGGTAATAAGTGAAGAAAACGACGAATTTGCAAATGCCATCGAAACAGACAAGCGTACCGCGTTTGATAGAATTTTCTCAAAATCATAAGAAATGCGTGTAATGGTCTGGCCATAGAGCGCTAGTTTGTATAAAACCGCGGCAGTCTGCTGATCCTTACGGGTCTTACGGAATGGACGTAGTTCACACAGCGCCCTGATTTTACATAAGTAGTCTGCGACCATTCTTCCAGGCAGTACGCCACTGCAACAAGTAGATAAAAACACACATATCGAAATATTTTCGTCATTTACAGTTATATAAGACCTTAAAATTAATTTTTATGACATAAAATAGAACGAGAAAGCTGACCATTTCTTCATGTATCTCCAGCAAAACGTAATATAGTTTATAGAAAACAAAATCGAATTCGATTGTTAGCACAACTCTCAATTAGAATGCCACAAACGAAAGTTGTCTGTCGCATCATCCCTCCCCTTGGAAATTGGAATCTTCACTAATGGTCTCTGTAAGTTTACGTTTAGAAGTAGCCCCTGAAGAGATCAACTCTAGTGTTTACACGTTCTCATAGGTTCCACAGCAAACGATGCTTTATGTTCTCCTACATCAATACACCGTCATTCAGTTTCAACAACATGAAATATAACATAATCAATAAGTCACTATGCGAAAATCCTTTCTATACTTTTCCTTGACGCTATCCATTGACAGCATACTTCACCCTTTCGTGTAAAAGTCAGATCAACACATTGATGAATTATACACACGTTTTGAGAATTCCCTTAAAAAGGAGGCGTACCTCGATTGGTGCGCACTCCAGGAATGCACACCATGAGTAAGCCTGCTACGAGACTCCGCTACCGCCTATTAAATACCAACCATCGAGGGCACGCATGTCTAGGCACGCAAGTCTTTTTTTCAAGCCCAGGTACGAGGAAACTTGTTTTCAACCCGCATGGTGGAGTCCTCCACCGAGCCTTCATTTTCCGCAACTCCCAACCGGTTATTGTGGGATCCTCCAGCTTCTATTTCTATGGTCGTACACAAGTAGATAATGCTAGAATAATGATATAAATCTAAGAGGATGTATGGAAGGTCTCACTTAATTGTCATATTTATATTTACTTTTAGTACAATGGAGCATTACTTTAAAAAAAATAATGCATTTTCTCACGTCCAGTTTTATTCTGCCACCTTCTCTAGCGGAAACGACACGAAAAAAACGAACACGAACAAAAACATATTGCCGACCAGTCCATTTCTAGAGAGCCTGCCTTCCAGCTGGCAATAACCTACAACCACTAATGATGTAATACACTCGATCCTAAACTTGACCTCACGAGGCGCCATTTGCAAACTTTCGCCTTCACTTCTTGGATAAGGGAGGGGCTTTGTAATCAAGGTCAGGGATCATACCATTTTAATTTGGAGGAGAAAATGTCAAGAAACGTTCGCATGAGGAAGTCCAAGATCATTACAAAACATAAGAAAAAATATCGAAGATTTATTGCCCTGCATCTTAATTATAATTCGCACGCCCAGAGAAGAAATGCACACAAAACGCAATATTAAGCATATAAACAAATAGTAAATGACCAATAACATTTACAAGTATTTCTGAAGAAGGAAATTTCTGATCACTCAAACTACTCTCAACTCACACAAATTCGTTTATTCAGAGATATGCAGTTTAAAGTGAGCTAATGGGTGTTCCTTCCTATCGTGTCAGCTTCTGCGTAGTGGCTGGGTAATGTGTAGTGGTCAAGGCTTTTAAAAACATTTTATATATATATATATATATATATATATATATATATATATATATAGCTTTTAAGAGCCGCGTGAAGCAGTGTGACAGAAGATCACACTGTCACAAAACCCATGGACCACAACATGCCGCCATCATTCCTCCCCAACGAAGTGTCGCTACGGGCTCGTGGATCACCAGCTACTACGGACCAACGCGATGCAAACGAGAGGACTGCTGATGCATGGGATCAAAGGGCAGAGAAAAATTACTGAGGGCGGGGGACGGCGGGAAGTTGCTAATGTAAAAATTCCGAAGTCAAAAACCCAATGATAGGACTAGGACTTTTATCCAACCGACAGACCGTTACTTTTTTTACGTCCCAATGAGAAGCATATTTAATCTTACACTAGGCACTAACACACACTT